TTTACCGAGAAAGGGACCACAGTTGTCAGCATGAACTCTTTGAAATGGTTCACAAGTAACTGGCCACGGTTACCACTGTGAAGACTTGTTATGAATCTTATGTACACATTTAGCACAATTCTTAGCAGAACGGTGTCTTCCCGCGCAGGTTCGAATCCTGCCCGCGACGCCAAAATGTGAGAATTAAGTTCCGCATGCATATCGGAATAACCAGACGAACCAGGAATTCTGAAGTCTGATCAGCGCAACAAGTAGCACGTATGTATTCGAATTGACGTATATGTACAGCATATGGAATATTAGAAAAAGTGAATAATGAATGCAGCAGTGAATAGAGTATCGATCGTGTTGATCTTCTTCACTTTCCCCTCATTCTTGTGTGTCACACGGTCAATGAAGGACAGTCTACTTGAGGTTGACTTTGGCTCCGTACTCAACTCAGCGTGAGAATCCAGAGTTTTAACATCTTGATAGAACTTGTTGAGTTTATCAAGTTTGATCACAACGAACGTGTCATCTACGTGTTGTGAAGGGACCTTCCGTGGACGTTCTGTCAGTATCAAGAGCCCTGTTATCTGCACAGCGTTCTTCATAGGAAGAGACATTCATTCGTATTCACTGAGTTGACATCAAGACTCACGAGAAGTTGGTCCATCTTCAACGGTAATCCAGCTACTTGTTTTAGTGAACTCACTCACAGGTTGATGATAGAGCGGTGAATGGGTTACTGTGACTTCCAGCTGTGGGCATCTTGATCCTCTCTACCTGAAAGCCTGTTTGACACGCACACCCTCACTGACCGATTTCGAAACAAGTCGCCCTGTTACGTACGTCGAATTTCACTGGTAAGTCTAAGATGGTGCAGAACCTATCTTGCAAGTGTCCTGCTGAAAGGAAGAAGGCCTTCGCTGCGGAGTTATTCATTAGAAAACGCCAAGTGAACAGCTACAGACTATTGAACAGGGAAGCAAAAGCATCTTGTCTACAGTAACCAAATGTCCATCTTCTCCTTGAACGCGTTTTCCTGAATTTTCCTGGATATTCTTAACTGTTGCTCAAAAGCAAACAAATGCGACTCCACAAATTCCGTAATAGATCTCACTTTTCAAGAGACGCGGAACGGATTTACGAGAAAACATACTACTCGATGCCCCCATCAGTAGTATCCACCGTTATATTGTCAATGGCCAACAGAAGCTTGGTAGTGTCAGATTTTAAAAGTTTCACGTGCCGGGCCAACAATACTTCCCCGGTGTCTCCAAGTATTCAGCCTTTTTATCCGCCACTCGTGAACCGTGGAAATTCCATCTCAAGGATGTGGGTTTCGCCTGAATAAGAGTTAGCGATCTGGTGCCGATTAAGGTCCCTGTTTTGTTTCCTCAGATCCTGAACTGTGGTTTGTTTTAGGAATTTGAATCTAACCATTGTGACGGGCTTCCTCAGTCTTAGTCGGCGGTATTCGTAGGCATATTGGAGGCAACCAGATTCCCCACCTACCATATTGGAGTCTAGCTCACGGATCGCCTCATTATCGGCGTGTACCGGAACGAACACACCTGTTGAAGTTCGTGCATGGCACATGAACCATGCGGAATGTTGCATTCACTCGCCATCTACATGACCTGAGCTTGCCTGCACGTTTTGATTTTCATGTACACAAACTACCCGGTGAACAACGAATGGAAGTGATTACTAGGAATTTGGGAGTTGTTGGCATCGTCTGCGTTCCAGGATGACATCTCCGTGAACTCCCCTGCGCTTAGCTGGAGAAATCGCAGGCGATGGTGGTTATTTGATGTCAGTGGCGTCTATGTTGTCAGTTTCTTCACAGATTATCTGGCTGAACGCTTGAAGACGTAGGCAACTTAGAATGCGTGTGTTAGGCTATCATCCCTCCATCATCTAGTCACGTTTCCCTTCTTTCCACCTTGAGGGTTTAAATATAGCTAGTTAAATGGACTTTGCGTTTATCCGGCAGTGATATTGCCATCTCTGACGATGATGTTGATTCGGGGAGGGTCGGTGTTTTTGTGGTTGACTTGTACGCACGCAGACATTCATCGCACCACTCATGCAGCAAAATAGGAAGGCATCCTGATGAAGGTGTATCTCACCTTGATCAGGTGTAGATAGCTGCTCCGTCGTTGCTTGGAGCAGTCTAAAAGGTGAGAATCTTAAAGCTCCTACACTCTTCGCGGGAGCCTTGACCATCAGTTGCACTGTCTGCGCGCTGCATCGGTACAATGATGGTCGGTTGCTTTCACCAACGGTTGAGCGCAGCCCATAGATGGACTTCGTACTGCCGACCGCGTCTTGGGTTGCTGTTGCCAACCTGATACCTGTGGTGGCAGTTCATTCGTCTGCGGACGTTGTGGCTCTTTCTCTCTACTGCGGTGAGAGGGACGGTGAGGGCCTCTTGAGAGAGTCTCATCTGAAGGTATTTCCACATGCTTACAGGAATCTATCACCTGGACTAACTGAACTACGGGTCTCACGGGGCCGAACTTGTGCTGGCGTACCTTCGGAAGGTGGATATAGATGAAGCTCCGAGTGAAGGAAACCCGATTCGAGGAAAGCATTTTTCCAACTGGTTGTGGATGGTATTCGTTCTATCCGCTGATTCGCCAATCTGTTGTTTCAGGCTTCTGATCCGCTCCAGTGCCTCGTGCCGGGAAAAAGACTTACAGAAGGGAACACAACAGCCATATTCCGAACAAGCGAGTGCGAGAGCGTGAGTGCGTGCGAGTGCAAAAGTAGAGCGGTCTCAAGCTATTTATTGGAGGGACACTGTCTGGAATTGGTCCAGTGCTGACGCACGCGGTCTGGCCTTGGTACGAGGCTGCGACGCGCTGCATATTGCGGGGGCGCTATCTGACCTTGACCAACGCTGACTCGCGCTGTTTGGGTTCGATTCAAGGCTGTGAGGCGCTGCGCAGTGAGGGGGCTTTGTCTGTCTGGTCAAAATCTAGCGTAGCTGAGGCATTCAGTGGTTGCTTTCAGGAGTCTGACCTTCCTGGTAGTAACGACATTCATTAGTAAACAAACAAACGATCTTGGAATTTCCCTCCGAAGCAACATACTGCGCTCAGTAATCTTCAAGGTGAATCCTGATAGTATAAGTTAACGGAGATCATGCGGCAGGCATCCGCTTTATGATAGGAATACACGTTTATTCTAAAAAATCAACAGATTCCTTTATATCTTGCCACCGTGTGCCTCAGTGCCAACGAAAGATAGCATCTTGGAAGAGGGGTTCCCACTGCCGCTGATAGTTGGACTTCTCATTAAAAGAATAATGTTTACTGATTACCACACATATAACACCGACTAAGGCCTTTAGACCGAAAGACATGAAGGACCAACGTGTGTTACAGAGGAAACCGAAAAACTAGTTTAAGTGAAAAGTGCAACACTCTGTAGAGTTCGCCGCTGCAGGAAGAAGGCTACAAAAGACACAAATAGCCCTATTTGCATTTCTTTTGAACTGATCTCATCCTGTCTGTCTGTCTCTGTCTGTCTGTCTGTCTGTCTGTCTGTCTGTCTGTCTGTCTGTCTGTCTGTCTGTCTGTCTGTCTGTCTGTCTGTCTGTCTGTCTGTCTGTCTGTCTGTCTGTCTGTCTGTCTGTCTGTCTGTCTGTCTGTCTGTCTGTCTGTCTGTCTGTCTGTCTGTCTGTCTGTCTGTCTGTCTGTCTGTCTGTCTGTCTGTCTGTCTGTCTGTCTGTCTGTCTGTCTGTCTGTCTGTCTGTCTGTCTGTCTGTCTGTCTGTCTGTCTGTCTGTCTGTCTGTCTGTCTGTCTGTCTGTCTGTCATGTGTACACCACGTTGTGCTCCTGTGACCTTGATGTAGAGTTGCCTTAGTTATATCATGGTAACGACCCAGTTCAATGCCTCACTTTCACTAGTTGTGGTCAGGTTGTAACGTACTCAGGTTGATTATCAAAAGGTGACAAGCACTGACAAACGTTTGTTTCGTCGTGATGATTACAAAAGTTGTGTGCATTTGATAAAAATAAATACAATGCAAGATGGGGATAAGCTAAAAAGTGACTTATCGTTTGAGGACAACAGCTGAGAGTTCCTGAGTAAAGTTTTCGGACGCAGGACGTGTCTTCTCCACAGTATAGCTGCTGCACGTCTTCCGTAGTTGTCCGTGGAGACTTGCGGAACTCGGTTGACTTCCTGCCCTGTGCGCGCGAGTGTGGGTGCGGTGGGCCGAGCTGCATGCCTATTTATTGTGTGGTTCTTTGATAATTGCACGAACGTGAATATGGCCTGATGTGATTGTGATAGCCGCGTCAACAAAAACGAATGGGAAATTGCAGTGTACATGTTGTCGGCTGAGGCTGCAAGTGGAACAGGAATCGTCACGTGATTTGTTTGTGACGCATGATCGATCTAGTAGTGATTATCCGCTACACACCCCCGTCAACATCCTAATCTGACACGCCGCCGTACCATGGAGATTGATTTGATTTAATAAATTTAACAGACAAAACACACTACTATAGCCGTAATATGCTACTCATAAGTTTACTGAAAATGCTTCCTATTGAACCAAATGATTGGCTGTTTTTGTGTGTTCTCTGTGCAGGAAAAACTTGTAGCCTGTCCATTTAGAAAGGCAAACTAAACCATGTCTGGAAAGATGAAGAATGCGCACGATTTTGGAATTCTCCCACAAAAAATTAGGCTCAATTAAAGAGAGGATAATTTTCGCGAAATGGACTCGTTTTCAAACGATTGGGACTCTGAGGAACCCCGTGTTTGTACTACCTCGTCATGCACTTTGATTTTTGTTCGAATTCAAATGATGGAGCACGCTACTCATAAGGTCGCTGAAAAGCTCTGGACAGTCTACAACCTGTTTCGCCATTTTTTGGGCTTACCAGGTAGGTGCGTTCCCCGAGTTTCCCTCAATCCCAAGTTCTACTTGAATCCGCACACATTTGATAGCTAACCTGGTGGTAGCAACACACTCGGATGGACCTCAGCTGAATCGCTTTTTTATGGTATGGCCGCACAAGAGTCGCCTCATGTTGGCCTACAGATAACTGAAATGGAACGAGTACTCACAATGCTGAAGGGTTTGGAATCTCAGTTGAAAAGCGCTACATCAGCTGCAATCACATCATACGCGTCAAACGACCAGTTTAGTTGAAAAAGCGTAACAAAAAATCACAGATATCGTGACACAGTCGTTTCGATCAGTACACGACCTTTCTTGGGAGGGAGCTTAGGGAGGGCGACACAGGGTAGATGCACCCTACAGACGAAATCCTGGCAAATTGCTTCTGCGTACGCAATTCTATTGGTATTGCAGCACGGAAAACGAGTTGTCGAAAGCTTAGCTGACATAGTGCAGGACAGTTTGATGTCACAATCACGTCCCCAGTTCATCAGCGGATGTGTCACTGTCTCCGATGGTTTGTCCCCAATTCTTGGATCCACTGGGGTGACATCCTGCTCTGTTCTGCCAAACGCGTGTCTGTCACTCGCCACATTTTGGGACTACCCGGTTGATTTTATTGATATATATTTAGAAACGTAGTTGCAAACGAATTACTGGATGAAGTGCGAAACATGCTGATCACATCCACATCGAGAACAATGTTGGAGATCAATGATCAACGTTCTTTTCGGTCAGTGCAGTTTGCTCTTCTTCGATTGGCCAAAAGTGAAGCAGGTTCGACCGCCTAAATTATTAATCCTTGAGCTGTGCTCACTCTGCCTATGCTTATCGATCGGCTGTAACATCCTCACTAAGCAATCAGACATGCCTTTCGTCATGTTTTCCGATTGGTACGTGATCTGAAGTGCACCATTTTTAGGACGGCCGTGAAACGTTCCGTTAACACTGAATGCATTCTTGTCAACTTGGTGCTATTCGGCTATTCGGCATACAAACTTTCTGTGCGTGATTCAGTGTGCACTTTACGATCCCGTTTATCTTTGCTACTGGCGCAGAACTGGTGCAAGGAAGACAATACCGGATCCAAGTCGGTTATCCGTATACTCTACATCACACTGATGAATTTCAATGTCCCGTAAGGGGAACATCCGGAATGCGTAGGCCACCCCACTCCCCACGACTATGTAAACAGAAAAGCGTTAGTGGGGATAATTTTGATGCCTCCCAAACTAGGATAAATATCTTCATTGATATGCAGACGATTGTGTACATACCATAGTCTGTAATGAGAAGTGGAGTGCAGGTGATATTACCGCCCCCCGGGATCGTTCCAAGCAAAATGTCAACTAACGTTGACGTTCCAGGTGCTTCCCCACAGCGACGTTGTCAGCCATCAGAACACAAGCCCACAACAGATGAAGTGAGTATCGCTGTAACAGTGCATACTACTGATGAAAAATGCGAGTAGAGTCTAGTCAGATGTCTGAAAACTGTTGAACCGCTTCACCGTGTTTATTCATTACTATTTAGTATTTAAACAGTATTCAGGACAGGTCAACAGGACGCTTCAAATTTCTGCGCAAATCGTGTCTGGGAGCTTGTAACCCCTCATCCGTGTTAACCAATGAACGGGGCCGTGGCCGAAGGCGTTTTTCATTGGTAGCACTGTTGCGCAATTGATCGCCATCCTGTTCAGTGTACTGGGTTCGCGAACGGTTCCACATCAATCGGCGTGGAATCATCATTCCGAAAAAGTCCCTGTTCGGTGTACTGGGTTCGCGAACGGTCCCCCATCAATCGGCGTGGAATCATCATTCCGAGAAAATCCTTCGGCCGTGGCACCCTTTCGGTACCTAACTGCCATGCCACCAGAAGGAAGCACGAGGACTGGGATACTGCCGGGTTACTCAGTCCTGGACAGGGGAGTTGAGAGGCAGAGGTTGGGTTAGTGGACCTTCGGGTCAGTTAATTCGCACTCTAACCACTGACTTATCTCACCACACTGTGGAGCAACACTCTAACCACTGACTTATCTCACCACACAATCACTGAAACACTGTGGAGCAGAGTGGTGCAGTGCGTACAAAAGAACAAGGGATGGGCACGGCAGATAACCGCACGTAACTGGGTACTGGGGATCTGATGTCATCTACTCTGCACAGGTAAGTTTCCTCAGACTGGCAGAGAACTTTTGTGAATCTACCCAATTGCATAGTAGAATATGTGATTACCAAATCGAAACTGCTCTTTTTCTGGAGCTTTCAGTTAGTAACCGACGAGTTACGTTGGACGTTCAACCTGGCTGCAATAACCTCTCTCTGACTTGATTTGAGAAGTCTCTTCCGGTGGAACCTGCTTTGAAATTCGTTCAGTAAAGCCCTAAATGCGCCGTGCAGCTTGTTTATGGATCTCGTTGGCTCAAATAAAACGCTCGCTTTGCATAGTTTAAAGACGATTCCTCAACCGGCTTGTTTGGTGCTTGATAAGGTAGTCCATGATCTGTCTGCCGACATTGGCTGTTAGTTTTTGAGCTGTTGCTTACCTATTGACGTGACATCAATCAATGCGTGGTTAGGTATTTTACTCTTCCATACAGGCTTCAGTTAATACAGATTCCAAAAACAAGCAGGTATCTAGGCTAGGTATCCAGGCTAACTGGAATACACCATCCTCGGAGCCCCATTGGTCCGTTTCAAAGTGTACTGCGTTGTGGTCCGTATCCCTAAAATTCTGTTGGTGCGTAAAGCAGCTCCTCTCCAAGGACTTTGGTTGCTGGTCTGATTGGTTGGTTTCACGTTTTTGTTTTATCGTGGTTTGTCACCCCTTCAGGTGTTCCGTTCTTACGGTGGCTGTTCACTTTCAGACGGTTCCATCAAACTGCACTGACGGTTGTTTTCACTGCTGTCAGTCATAAATGGCAACCGTCATCAAGACTTGAATTCACTTCCTCAAGCTTACACTCGTTTTGGTATATCTTCTGAATATTCAAAAACAGTCCTTTGTAGATTCTGCGAATTTCGTTTTTTACCAGACAGCCGACAAAGTTTTTTCAAGTGCTTAAAAAATCATCAGTGAAGTTTCCATCAGTTTTTCATGACACCCATACGAAGAATCAACGTACAATCGTCCAACATTTTTGGCTAGCAGATTGATTTTTGGCAATGATGTCGGAAGCGGTTTCGTCCCATATAGGCACTACACTGCCGTCTCCGAGTGTAAAAGGTACTACAAGAATCACTTTTGTAGACGGCGAGCTCTAATCTACGGTTGTACGTACACAATTCGTTCTCTGGAGCGATTTTGACAGCCTACTGTTTTGAAAGGCAGTTTGAATCTGTATGTGACCTATCCTGTGCGTTATCACAAAAAGACGCCATGACTGACTGGATTTCCCGGTAACTAACCACAAACCTTCTGTTTAGAATTTCCTTGAACTTCAAGCCCAAATTGTTTTGTGTGATTTCCATTGATTGTGTGCGGGTGTACTCCGAAAATAGTCATTAACCGAGGGACTCCATTCACATCCAGTAAAATGCAGAGACTCCACTCGCTTTCAAAGCGATAGACAGTCGGTAACTTGGGTTTCGCAGACGCCAAGTCACGTGCACCTATAATCGACATTTAATCGATAGGACTGATGATGGGATGCAAGAATAGAACATTCATCAAAGCGTATTCTCGTCCTACGATGTGATTCCGCCCCCTACAAGTCTCTCAAGTGAATCAGCCTCAGTTTCCCGGATGATCAAAGAATCAAACCAATATTTCTTTGTAATGCACTACTCATAAGGTTGCTGAAAATTCGTCGACAGTCTACGATCGGTTCCTCCCTTTCAGTTCGTGCTCATCAGGTAGGCGCAGTCCCCGAGTTTCTGTCAACATTATGTTCCACTTGAAACCAAATTGCACGAAATTAGCGAATATACACTCATTTGCAAACTAATTTGGTTTTGTGAGAGACTCACCTGGAACCCAGCTAAATCTCTCGTTCGTGATGTTTCCAGGCCACTGAATGTGCTGCACCAGGCCGCCTCGTGTTTCATTCGCTACGATATTTGAGATGTTGCGATACGTAATGCACTACTCATAAGGGTGCCGGAAATTCATCGACAGTTCAA